TTTTATCAATGCTGGCCATCCTTACTGGTGTGAGATGATATCTCATTGTGGTTTTAATTTGCATTTCCCTACTGATTAGTGATGTGGAACATCTTTTCATGTGTCTGATGGCCATCAGATTGCCTTTTTAAATTATGATTGGTCGCACAGCATGGAATTCATCTGGATATTCTATCTCCTGTGCAAATTATTCATTCTATATTGTATTAATAATTCTGTTCCTTTTTCCACAAAGATAGTCTTTATATTCTTAAGGCTAGAAGAGGTCTCTGACTTCCAGTTCAACTACACTGAAAGTGGCAAGATTCTCCAAGCATGATGCTTCTCCAATATACTATTGATAATCTTCTGCAGATAACTAAATGAATGATTGGATTAATCATTGCAGCTGGCCTGGGGATCATAGCCATAACTGCAACTGCTACAACAAGTGTTCAGATTGTTGACTTTGTTAATAATTGGCATGCTAATTTGTCAAAATTGTAGACCACCCAAAGACCGATAGATAGTGAAATTAATGCACAACTGACTGATTTGCAACAAGCAGTTATTATGCTAGGAGATCAAATTGTTAGTTTGCAATGTCAAATTTCTATGAAATGTGATTGGAATACAACTGGATTTTGTGTTACTCCTATACCTTATAATCATACTTATTTTCTCTGGGATAATGTTAAAAAACATTTTTTAAATCATGGTAATATGACTCAAGAAATAATAGAACTTCAACAGCACATTACTGATACTTTCCAGAAATAATTACAAGTTTTAAGTGGTTCTAATCTATTGGAAAGCATTGCAGATGGAATAAGTAATCTGGACACTATAAAACACTTAAACATTTTTAGAGGTTCCACTGCTACACTTACAATAATTGTATTATGTTTGTTATTTGTGTTTTGTATAATCTGGAGAAGAGCTACCTGGAAATGTCAACAAGCTCGACAGCAATCAGCAGTCTTCTCATTAATGTTACAAAAGATGCAAGCTAAACAAAAAGGGGGGAACGTAGACACTCCAGCAATTAACTTTGCTATAGTTTAGTTTCTGCTTAAAGCTTGATTTATAACCAGGTGTAATCTATGGAAAAGGTACAATATGTTTAATGCGTAAGTTTGATTAATAGCCGAAACCTATCTAATAGAAAGAACAAAGTGTTAATTCCTGGAATCCAGTGTGAGTTATGAACAGTGTGGAATAGGAGCTGCAAACGGTTCCTGTGATCCTTCTGCGGCAAACCCAGATGAGGAACATGCTGTGAAACTCACTAACTGGATGACTTGACTTAACACAATAGGAATATTTTTACTGTTTATAGGTCAGTGGTTAAGGTTTTCCAAATGGCAAAAAAATGAAAACAAATGAACAAAAAAGGGTCTTTTCATGTCTCTGTGTAGGTGCAACATTTTGAGTTTTGTATCTTGATATACATAAAAGGAAAAGTCTGCCTGAAATTTTTGGCTACAGGATCAGATCATAGAAAGGACACTCCAAGAATAGCCCACTGAGGTCTGTAGTTTCTGAATCCTTCTGACCATACTTACCTGCTTTCTCTAGCAATGGGTGACTTCCTTCCTTCCTTCACTCTTTTGCATCTCTAACCAGGCCTCCCTCCTCTCATGACCTTCTCCTCTCTGACACGGTCCAGCCGTGCCTAGTCAAGCAGGTCCTGAGGTGCGAAGGGGGGCGAAGAAAATAAAGAAAGACAGAAAGAACTGGGAGGGCTGACGCTCCCACGTGTCGCCAGCAAAACTTTATTGAAGGTCCAGGGTTTATATAATGCAGCAGGGTTACATGATTCCAGGGCATAGCATTATCCAATAGACAATCAAGCACAGTATTAATGTCAGCAGTAGCCGGGCAAAGGTAGGCTCAGCAGGGTTCCGTTAGTTGCTCATGGAATGCGTAAACTGAATGCTCTTTGTTCTCCATTCCCACCACATCGGCAAGTGGGGGAAGGCAGGCCAGAAGCAGGGGCAGTGTTTCCACACATCTTCAAGGTCTCCCTATTTTCAGAGTGAGGAGTCTTGGCTCATCTTCGAGGACAAGATATGTTTCTGTAAAGGGGGATTACTCCTTGATAGGATAAAACTATTGGTAAATCAAAGATCAACGCATGCTTTAAATATCCTTAATGTTGATCACGTAAAGGGTGTCAGATGATCAGCTATGGAGGTACTCTTTTCTGATAATATTCCTTTATCTTAATAAAAAAATAAAAAAAAAAGCAGTCCCTGTGTACTGACCTCCAATGAGTTCTGCCCAGTGGTATAGAGGGCATGTCAAAGTGTGGGCAAAGGGTCTGTTTGTTTCTACGCAGAAGATCAAGGCCTAGATTGGAT